TCTCTACTAAAAATACAAAAATCAGCCAGGCGTGGTGGCACACGCCTGTAATTCCAGCTACTCGGGAGCCTGAGGCAGGAGAATCACTTGAATCCTGGAGGCATTGGTTGCAGTGAGCCGAGATTGTACCATTGCACTCCAGCCTGGGCAACAAGAGTGAAACCCTGTCCCCCTCCTCCAAAAAAAAAAAAAAAAAAGAGGAGAAAAGAAAAGCAGAATATAAATGTAAAATTTATAAAACAATAAATATGTGAAATAATATATATATGTGTAAATACATGAAAATTTTGGCCTTGCCAATACCATAATAAAATCAAACAATGAAAAACACAAAAGAAAGCACTGTGTCACGGTTTAGCTGGTCTTGTAGGGTTTTTTGTTGTTGTTGTTGTACATAAAATAATGGTGTATGTATCACTGGCAGTTGGCTTGGAGGTACAATAAAATATACATGCCAGGAGCGGTGGTTCACGCCTGTTATCCCAGCATTTTGGGAGGCTGAGGTGGGAGGATAGCTTGAGCCTAGGAGTTTGAGACCAGCCTGGGCAACATGGCAAGACCCCATGTCTACAAAAAAGTTCAAAAATTAGCAGGGCGGGGGGGCACAAGCCTTCCCGAGTCCCAGTTACTAGGGAAGCTGAGGTGGGAGGATGGCTTGAGCCTGGGAGGTCAAGGCTGCAGTGAGCCATGATCACGCCACTGTACTCCAGTCTGGTTGATAGAGTGAGACCCCTTTCAAGAAAGAAAAAGGAAAGAAAGAAAAAAAAAGAGAAAGAAAGAAAGAGAGAGAGAGAGGGAGGGAGGGAAGGAAGGAAAAGAGAGAGAAAGGAGGGAGGGAGGAAGGAGAGAGAAAGAGAAAGAAAGATAGAGATAAGAAAAAGAAAGAAAGAGGCCAGGCATGGCGGCTCACGCCTGTAATCCCGAAAGGAGGAAGGAGAGAGAGAGAAAGAAAGAGAAAGAAAGAGAGAAAGCAAGAGAAAAAAAGAAAGAGGCCAGTCGCGGTGGCTCACGCCTGTAATCCCAGCACTTTGGGAGGCCGAGGCAGGCGGATCACGAGGTCAGGAGACTGAGACCATCCTGGCTAACACGGTGAAACCCTGACTCTATTAAAAATACGAAAAAAAAAAAAAATTTAGCCAGCTATGGGAGGCTGAGGCAGGAGAATGGCATGAACCCTGGAGGCGGAGCTTGCAGTGAGCCGAGATCGCGCCAGTGCACTCCAGCCTGGGCGACAGAGCGAGACTCCGTCTCAAAAAAAAAGAAAAGGAAGGAAGGGAAGGAAGGAAGGAGACAGAAAAAAAGAAAGGAAGGAAGGAGAGAGAGAAGGAAGGAAGGAAGGAAATAAGGAAAGAAGATAGGAAAAGCGGGAGGGAGGGAAGGAAGGGAAGAAAAAAATATGCGTGTGTGTGTGTGTGTGTGTGTGTGTGTGTGTGTAAGTAGAATCTTGTCCAAAAGTGTGAAGAAAAACAAAAATTTAACCAGAAAAGCAAGGCCTGCCGTTCCCTTCTACTTCTC